GACAGCGTGAGCCTCGGTTTGTCGAGCCTTGGACGGTCGTGCACGTTAGACGCTTGCGACCGCTGATCGAAGTCCTCCTCGTGCTCGCGCTCACCGTGCCGGTGCTCTCCTTCCTCGGATCGATCGCGCCTCGGTTGTCCGGGAGGTGGTCGCGCATATCGTTGGAAGCCGCGCGCCATCTCCTCGAACCCTCGGTTCACAGTTTCCATTAGATCACGAACCGATGCCTTGGTCGTGTCGAGCCCCTCGCCTAGGGTGTCCATGGCTTCGCTCATGCTTCGGACTTGAGCGTCTAAGTTGTCGATCTTGTCCTTCATCTCTTTGTTGGCCATGACTTTCTTTTCTTGCTTTCGTTCTTTACTTCGTGGACTCGTTTTGAGGTTTTTTGATTTTTGATTTTTGATTTTTTTTTTTTTGATAGGGGGGAACGAAAATAAAGAAGAAGAAAAAGAAAGGGAATGGGGTAGGAAAAAACACACGATCTAGATACTCTCAATGAAAGCATCAATGATGAAGATCGCGTGTCCCGATTGCCGATAAGCCACAAACCAGTGCCTTGAATCGCCGATAGGTGCCTCGTAGGTTCACACAACCGCGCCCCTTCGAAACGATAAAATTGCAAGAGAATTCAAGAAGAAATCTAAAGCAAAGTGTTTGAACAAAAGTTCGGGTTTTTTTATTAATTTATGAATTATGAAAAAATAACAAGAGGAAGGGCCTTTATATAGGCATGAAATAGGTCTATTCCTAATCTAGCTATAACTCTAATAAAGCAATAAAATATTAAGTATCCTAAACAATCTAGAAATCATAATGGAATAAGGAAACTAAATAACTAAGGGATCTTGAGCCTTGACTTGCACTCCAAGTCAAACATCCCAACCGCCTACTCGCCGCCCTTGGGACCCGCGCGCCTTGCCTTAGTCCTCGAGGACTAAGGTTGCGCCGCCCGTCCCCGCGCTCGCTTCCCCGCTGTGCGCCCTGCTCGAGCCCTCGCGCCCGTCTCCGCCACCCGAGACCTCCTCGCGCGCGTCCCTCGCGTCGCCCGCGTCCGCGCCACTCACCTCACCTTCCGCGGCCACATTTCGCCCGAGCGCTAGCCGCGCGCTCTTGCCCGTCGGGTCCCCCTCATTGGCCTCGCATGCCCCGCACGCGATGGCTTGCGTCTCACCCGCCTGCCGTGCTAACCTCTTGCACGCATTATAAGCCCGGCTCAAGGCGTTCTTCAGCTGCCTAGCCACATCCGCATCATTCCCGTCCCCTTCAAGCGCTTCCTTGTCCTCAAGGATGAAATCAGAGAACTGTTCGCGCATTTCTTCTTTATCCTCCCAAGTGGCTTCTTCCGATGGCAACTCCTTCCATTCGACTAACGCCTCCCATCGATAACGCCCAGCCTTTCTTATGTGGCGATATTCGATCTCCCGGCTTGGCCTTATGATTGCCCGTCCATCCGTGGCTGTCGCGGGCAGTTCCTCGCACCACTTGTGCGCTTCACCCAAGCTTCGTTTGAGTTGCGAGACATGTATGACTGGATGGATGTGCGAACTCTCTGGCAACTCAAGGCGATAAGCTACTTGCCCTATGCGCTTCAAAACCTGGTAGGGCCCGTAATAACGCACCCCAAGCTTAGTCGCAGCCCTCTGTGCCGTCGTGCGTTGCCTAAAGGGCCGCAGTTTCAAGTAGACATAGTCGCCTGGCTCGAAACTTTCCTCGCGCCTTTTGCCGTCATGAAAAGACTTCATGCGGTTAATTGACCCCTCGAGAGTTCTCTTCAATTCTCGTAGCATCAAGTCTCTCTCCTCAAGTTCTCGGTCCACTTCATCGTTGATTGCCACTCCTTCCGAATAATTCACGAGCGTAGGTGGTTTGCGCCCGTATACCAACTCGAATGGTGTAGCCTTGGTCGATTCATGATAAATGGTGTTGTACCAATACTCGGCCCATGGTAGAAAGTTTTCCCACTTCTTCGGAAATTGATGCACATAGCATCGCAAGTATTGCTCTAGCGTGCGGTTAGTCACCTCGGTTTGACCATCCGTCTGTAGGTGATAGGCAGAGCTCATTGATAGCTTGGTCCCTTGCAGTGTAAAGAACTCGGACCAAAAGCTACTCATAAAAATCCGGTCACTATCAGAGACAATCGAGCGTGGCACCCCATGTAGCTTCATGACATACTCAATGAAGAGCTTGGCGATAGACTTTGCCGTGTAGGGATGCGTGATCGGTATGAAGTGTGCGTACTTCGTCAGTCGATCGACCAGGACCATGACTCAATTGAACCCATTAGAGATAGGTAGCCTCTCGATGAAGTCCATGGTAATGTCCTCCC